TTATTTTCTAAATATTATTTTCTAAATATTATTTTCTAAATATTATTTTCTAAATATTATTTTCTAAATATTATTTTCTAAATATTATTTGCTAAATATTTGCTAAATATTTGCTAAATGTTAAAGCATACTTTATTATGCTAAAGTATGCCTTGTTTAGCCATGATTTACTGACCAAATCACTATTGGCTTGATTTGTACCTTATGCAAGCCATAAACTCTGGTCTGCAAACTGTAACAACAGGGTCTGCATCAAATGCTGATCCAAACAAACCATGCTGTGGCTTTGTGGGTTGTTTGAAGCAAATAATGACCTTTCTCAACCTGCTTATATTGTTTTATTTGCATATCGCAATGAGACTTGTAAAGAGTGTCAACCTACAAGGCTTGAAAGGAATTGAGAGATTCCTGGAGTTTGCATAGCTAATTTCCCAGTTTTGATTTGCTCCACAGGGAAAATTAGCAGCTTCTTCCAGGAATGTTTTATCACACATGCTGCAGGTCATGGACGATGCTAGCTGATCAAACACATAAAACCAAAATGTGTGCTGATTCACCTTGATTTTTTAAAAAAATACCAAAGGGACATTAAATTGTGGCCTCTGCCTTCTGAATTAGGGATCAAAGTTCTATTTTTGCATCAGATGTATAAAATATGACTATGTTTGGTTTTGCCTCAGGGGCCGAATTAAGCATCTAGATGTGGTGACCCTGTTGAGACGAATCCAGCCTCCCCTGGGATTTGGGAAATTTTGTCCGCACCGTGTGGCTTGCAAGGTAATTGGCTAACAGACAATGTTTTCTTATAGATGCTATGTAGACCCCATTTCATTTCTGTTGTTACCCCAAATGGCACTGTAGTCCCCATAGGAAAGACTGGTGCTCCATCCTGTTTCTTAGTGTCCAATAAGTAATGAATATTAAAATGAATATGAGCACCAGTCCCAAAGCTTGGAAGACAGAAGCTTTGGTCCCGATGACTGACCCAGATTATTAAAATTTTGTTTGTATATGTAAAAGCTGCAATCACATATCATACAAAACTAGGGGTTTTTTTTAACCATGGTTTATTGAGTGAATAAAAAATATATCAGATTGTGAAATAATACTACAGTATGTGTAAATCCAACCATAATGTTTTGTCTTTCTGGCATATATTTTTGTGTGTTTTGCAGCGCCTAGTGGGCATGAATATGCCGCTGAACAGTGATGGCACAGTTACTTTCAATGCCACACTCTTTGCTCTGGTGAGAACTGCTCTCAAGATCAAGACAGAAGGTAAAAGTGGAAACTGCCAATGTTATGTCATGAATAATTTCACTGCATTTTCTCGTTATTATTTCATGAATGGAAAAGAACATTAATCACCTTATATACCAATAGAAAAATAGCTGACACTAAAATCCATTACTGCACAATTACATAAGGCCAACAGTAGATGCTATAAATCAATAATAATTAATACCTTTCTAGTGCATTTAATCACAAGACCTCAACGAGTCAAGACTTCATCTGTCGTAAATTACAATAAGTAGTTTCAGTAGGGATATGTGCCAACACACGGCTGCTAGAGCTCTAGGGCTTTAAAGAGCCTGAGTTTTCAAAAAACAAATACTAGCAAGTTCATCCATGACTAGGATTATAGAAGATTTGAACCATCCTAATATTTAAATTGATCTTTAGTTGCAGCCTTATTTAAGTAAAATAAGCCACCCATTGCCATTGAAAGTTGGTTGGCCTCTAAATTTAAAGAAAGAAAGAAATTTGATATAAAATGCTAAATCATGAAACAGCCACATGCTAGTGGCAGAGAAGATATAGGGACACTTTGTTTCCAATGCTTCCAAAGTTTGGATATTCATTATTGGTAAAGAAAACCAGAGTTAGCCATATAAAGGACTTTGACACTTTATCTGCATTTTGAGTCATGTAATTCTGTATGAAAGAGCACATATACATAACTTTTTGTTCAAGGTTTTTCAAGCTCTATTTATCATAGTGTAGGGTTTCCTGCTTGGGAGCAGGATTGGACGAGCTGACTTGCAAGTCCCTTCCAACTCTGTTATTCTGTTATTCTGGTTTGATTTAGTTAAGCTACAGTTGAACTCTGAATATTAAGCTATGTACTGGTATAAATCATTTTGTATGATGGGTGCTTTGTAGGCAACTTTGAGAAAGCCAATGAAGAACTGAGGATGATTATTAAAAAAATCTGGAAGAGAACCAGCATGAAGCTTTTAGATCAAGTCATTCCACCAATTGGAGGTGAGTCATCAGACTATCAAAAGACTTTTGATCTTCATTTACATTTCTGGTCCTTGTGAAGAAGCTTTTGACTGATCTACTTATAAATTATCATAAAATTTCATGTTTAGAAAGTAGCTTGATACATGAATTAATATGTACTGTGCATCTCTTACATGATTACAATGCCTTAATTTGTATATATTCTTCTAGATGATGAAGTTACTGTGGGAAAGTTTTATGCCACTTTCCTCATCCAGGAGCACTTCAGAAAATTTATTAAGCACCAGGAAGAATATTATGGATATCGACCTAAGAAAAATGCTGTTGAAATCCAGGTAAATGGGAAACTGGTATGAGAAATACTGCATATTTTCACAACTTCTTAACAAGCAGAAATATTTCAACCTACAGTGGAGTGAGGGCTAGTGAAAATTTCTCTGTTCTGGCACTGGGCTTAAATTTGTATCCTAGGATATGTGCATGAATTATATGTACATATATGTTTTGAGGCTCTTTTAAGAGCTACTGTATGTACTAATATCTTTGAGAAATGTATTATGATTTCTTATCAATCTATCTTATTTCCTCTAACTGCTTATAATCAAGTCTTTCTTCAACACTATATATTTGCTCTGGTCTGAAATTGACCCTCCTTTAGGCAACATGTACTATACAGTATATGTGAGTCTATACAAACCTGAGCAAAGTGTTACGTATCATAATATTCTTAATTCCCTATCTACGTGGAGAAGGAATAAGTTATAAAACAATTTTGCTTTATTCCAAAGTTCTGGTTTATGGTTTTATATACCGTATATACTCGAGTATAGGCCGACCCGAATATAAGCCGAGGNCTTGTGGAGTACTGTGAAGCCTTTACCATGGCAACTCCACTGCGCTGTACAGTAGAAGCCATTTTACAGCACTACAGGAGAGCCATTTTAAAGCACAACATAACACCCTCACCCCACACACCCCCGAGGGGTGTTAGGAGTGTCTTATCCCCACAATATTTTTTTTTTCAGAGAGTAAGTCATCTGTGTACCAAGTTTGGTTGAAATTGCTTGAGGCGTTCCAGAGTTATGCTGGAACACATACAGACACATACACACAGCCATTTTTAGATAGATAGATGGATGGATGGATGGATGGATGGATGGATGGATGGATGGATGGACGGACAGATGGACAGACAGACAGACAGACAGACAGATAATGAATGGCACAGAGCGTATAACAGAGAGAAATCATGAGATGGGTTCTTTCCATGACTGATCCACTTCAGAATGCCTATTTTATCCTTGCAACTTTTCTGCATAAGAGATTCCGTAATGCCAGAGTCCCACACCATGTGCTAGGCAATTGCTGTTTAAATACATTGAAAATAATGCACCATAGCCATTGCTTGAAATAGGAGGAGGACTGAAGAAGGAGTACAGTGATTCAGTGCTTAGGGGCAGCTAAATAAACTGGTTTATTAAGGCAGAAATATTATGGCTGAAAAGGCCCATTGTGTCCTTATATCTCTCTGCTATCTCTGTTTCACTAGCAGCTCTTTTTTTTTAGTTGTCTTTAGTTTTGTGTCTCTTCGTCTGCTAATAGCCGCTATCCTAAAATGCAATTGACTCAGATCTAAACCGTAAGTATAGGACATTATTTGGACATTTATTTCGCTCCTCTAGTTCTGAAGAGGCTGTTACAAAGCCGGGAAAAGGCCCCAAAGGTATTGAGAAATCCATGTCAGGCAGTTAACAGGTTAAGGATCATTTGCATAAAAATTAGTAGGTTTTAACAAATGAATTCACCTGAAAGTAGGATACGGGACACTGCGTGCTAATAATTGACAGCCTGTATGAAATGCAATGTTCTTGATGGGGACATTCAACTCCGCATTGCTATTAGAGCCAGCGAAGCAGCAAACCCTGAGAAAAGAAATGCCATTTCATTCTGCGAATTACAGCTTCTGCATAACAACAATCTTTCATTTTGATGGTTCTTTCTAATAAAAATCCCCAGCTAGATTTTTACGCACGCAGGATGAGTCAGTGAAAAGAGGAATACAAGAGGAAGCCCAGATGTCCATGCTCTGAGACAGAAAATGAAGAGGAACAGATATCCTGGTAATACATTTTGAACACACTCCTTGCTTTCATTGTATTCTGCTTTTAAAACCACCCAAGGTGATGGTTTTGGAAGAGTTTCCCTGTATATAGCAACATTAAGATGTGTGGACTTCAACTCCCAGAATTTGGGGGAGTTGAAGTTCCCTTATTTTAAAGTTGCTGAGGTTGAGAAACGCTGCTCTAGTAAGGTGGGCAACCTTAAACACTCAAAGAGCCGCAAAGGTTCTAACCGGAAGCCCGCTGTTCAATTCAGGAGCTGACCAAAAGTCCTGTTCCCCCACCATAGAGTCTCCTCCTAGCACGGTGTCCTTTTCTCTCTACATATCCTAACTGAAAGCCCTATCAATCGTGGAGTCGACTGGTGACAGGGAGCCACAGCAGGGGGATGAAAAAGCCACATGCTGCTCCAGAGCTGTGGGTTGCTGATCCCGGCTCTAGTAATACTGCAGGTAGATTGCTGCAAAATAAGATTAGGTTATATCCAAAATGTAAGATTCACAGAACCAGATATATGAAAGATGATCTAGGACAGAGATGTCAAACTCAAGGCCCATGGGCCAGATCCGACCCATAGGGTGCTTAGATCTGGCACATGGGACAGCCCTGGAAACAGCGAGGGACTGGCCTGGAGTGCCTCTGCCAGTGAAAACAGAGCTCAGGAGGGCCCTCATGAGCTCCGTTTTCGCTGGCAGGGGGTTACAGGAGGCCATCCCAGCTGAAAATGGAGATTGGGAGCCTGTTTTCATTAGCAAACCACTCAGGCCACCACAGCCCCCCCCCCAACATGAGTGATGTCAAGCTGGCCACGCCCACCCTGGCCATGCCCACCCTGGTCCCTCAAGATCAAACACAACCCTGATGGGGCCATCAATGAAATTGAGTTTGACACTCAATTGATCTAGAAGAAGGTACAAGAAGTCTTTGCTTAACAACCATTCACTTAGACTGTTTGAAGTTATGACAGTGCTGAAAAAGGTGCTTTATTACTGGTCCTCAAATGCTCACAGCGTTCCTGCAGTCATGTGATTGTGATTCAGGCACTTGACAGCCATCATACATTTACTGTAGTTGCCGCATCCTGCAATCACATGATTTCCGTTTGTTACCTCCTCGGCCGGTTTCAGGCAAGCAAAGTCAAACGAGGAAGCTGGCAAGAAAGTTCGCAAGTCACAGTCACATGATGCCTTACTTAAAAATCTTGCTTAATGAACATGGTGACATGCTTGTATCAAATGAGGTCATAAAATCAGCTGCTGTCATATGAGATCCCACTTAATGACATTTCACAATGGGTTTTCTTGTCCCAATTGTGGTCATTCATCAAAGACCCTTTGACTTGCCTACAAAAGTCACCACCCACTAAAACTCTGCTTAAGACAATGGCCTTATTTATTAGTTGGTTTATTAGTTAAGCTGAGTTAGTCTTTGTGTCGACCAGATCCCCTGAAAATCCCTTCAACCCTTCATACCAGCAAACCAGTTCACACAGAGCTACATCAGCTATTTTGTTTACCAGCCCCCCCCCTCTCTCTCTCTCCCTCCCTCCCTCCCTCCCTCCCTCTTTTTCTCCCCCCCCCTCTCTCTCACACACACGGCTGAGCTACCTTGGTAAATGAGCCTGTGGGTGGACTTACCACAATGCTTTCTGGGATAAGTTGTTCTCTTCGTTTTCATGCCCTTGCTCATCTATAAACTCACACTGTTGTGTTGCTTGTGAGGGGGGGTGAACCTTTTCCAGTGAGACCTGTGCAGCTACATCAGTTGCGCTTCCTTCACGCCTCTAGTGACTGCAAGAGATTCACTAACCATATGCCCTAGTGCAGGGGTGTCAAACTCCATTTCATTGAAGGCCACATCAGTGTTGTGTTTGACTTCAGGAGGGGCACCAAGGGTACGTGTGTCCAGGATGGGCATGGCCAGCATGACAACACTTGTGTCAGGGGGCTCCTTCATTTTTTTTTCCATTTTATTTGACATTTATAGGCCGCCCTTTTCCCTGAAGGGACTCAGGGCAGCTTACAATTTATAGGAAGGGGGTGCAAGACAAAACACACACACACACA